AGCAGTTGTGTGGTGCAACCAGTTTGAGGCGTGAGATGAAAGAGAAGAGAACACAAACAGAGCGCGGTTAAAAGTTAATGACATGCGACAATGGCTTATAAACATGAGGGGAGTGGAGAAGAAATGGTAATGCTCATATAAAGTCCTTGAGGGAAGTCCTGATGTATGGTTCTTGATTAACCAGTTCAGCCTTAATTACAAATGTAGAGAGGGTGTCTGTCTCCTGAACCCTCTCACTCCTGGAGGCTGCATCTAAGTTATATCCAACTGACTTAAGAGCAAAGTTAAGATGGGACAAAGACTGCAGACCAGGCAAAAATATCTCTGTTAAACTGGCTCCAGCACATTTTGTAAAAAGAATATATTTTTATGTCTGACTTACTGTAACCACTTTCCTGTGCTCTTATGTGCAATCTGTATGTGGCTGTAAAATACTACAGTTATACTTACACTGAATAGCCGAGTAGTTTGGAGGTGAAGTTTAACGACTTTGGCAAACGGTGGTTGTTTCAGACTTTGAAAATCAAAAGTGTAATTTGTGTGAATTTTTGGAGGTCACTTATCTTTTTTTTTTTGTATAGTTCAAATGAAACGCTGCAAAATCTGTAAACGTCCTTAAAGTCTGTACTCACTCGTCACTGGAGTGTCATTTATTTTTCTATGCTTGGTGTAGGTCACTGTTGTTGTTGCTGGTTTTATTTGGGGCAAAAGCAAGAGTCTGTAACACCCTTGTGTTTCTCTGACTGTATGCTGCATATATGAGTAAATTTGTTTAACTTGTTTGCCTAAATGTGTGTACAGCCTCAGCACCGACCTTTGAACAGCAGGAACTGTCTGGATAAAATGTAGAGGAATCATGGAGGGATTGGAAAAGTACATGTTTTGTGTTTTTCAACTACTAGTGAGAAATACTTAATTTTTTTATTTATTTTTTAAGCAAGTTTTGACTTAACCTTTGTAACAGTTTCAGTACTTATTGGTGCTTTGCTTGCAGTTTCCTTGCTCCACTCTTGGATTCTGGGAAACGGTTCTTATCACTTTGTTGAGAGCAGATGACAATGATAGGGTCACATGACCAAAAAAAGCAAGCCTGTGTTTTTCCTTGTAAGAGACTGATTGGACAAATCAAAAGAAGGGGGTGGGCTCAGGAGCAGCACACATGAGTTGTCAAACAGGTTTGTCCTGTGTGGTTTGAAATACACGAACACACGAAGGAGAAACCCAGGTGAGACTTAGGAACTCAAGGCAACCTGTGACGGTGAGTTTCCTCTTGATAGAAAGAAAAGCTTTCTTTACTAACTTGTACCTTCAGAAAGGCTGGGTGTGAGCTTGGCAGGGCAAGACTAGTGTGTAGGCCATTTTGTTTACCTGCCCTTCCCGGGTGTCTGTGTTTTGCTTCCTGCTTCACTCCCTTTGTCAGAAGAACGTGCCAGCACTTGACTCGGAAACATCAAATCGTCTGACTAAACTCCTGAAATTCCCATTGTGTTTGTAAGCTACCAGCCGGTTGTTTTAATGAGATACTGTAGATAATTTGAGGATCATTTTGGGGGGAACTGGAGACGTAAAAACAGTTAAGCCTGGAGCTCTACTAAAACTTTCATAACTATGTCAGCAGGAGTTTAGCCCGGCTTAGGCTGGAATGGCAAATATGTTGAGAATTTGACTGTTGGATGCAGACTGTTCAAGCAGCATAGTCCATATGCACCTACAGGATCTTAAGTATGCACAGAAGAAGTCTGACCTTCACTATTTATGGACTTAAAATAGTAGGCTCCTTCTTTTTTTTTCCAACATTAATTACTCCACAGAAGCTTGTAGTTGGCAACAGGCTGCTATATTTAAAGATGAAGAGTCATTGTTCCCCTAGCAGCTGTTGGTGTGTGTGATCTGCTCTGTATTCCCTCCAGACAATAGCTTGTTGACAGCTGTCCTGATCCACCTCCCCATCACCCCTCACACACACACACACACTTGTATCACTCTTTTCACAGCCTTTCTACTGACTGAAAATGAGGTTTTATTGTGTGTTTGTCTGCGGAGAGATGGATGACTGCGAGTAATTGTTCGGATCTGTCTGAGATGGCAGCCAATGAACTTGTTAGAAGCATGGGGCTTCAGGAGAGCGATTGGCTGCAGTCTTAAATAAGTGGGAGGGTTTGTGGTTGTAGAGTCTTTGGGAAGTTTTGTAGCTCCACACAAGTTTCTGCTTGTGTTTGAAGGTAAATGTTTTCTATTCACTGGTCTTTTATTTTGTTAAGCTGCTTTTCTTCTCATTTGACTGACACTGTTTTTTTCACAGGAAGTCCAAATGTCAAGGAGCTAGAGTTCAGCTGACTTGCCGAGGTCGAGTCACTTCAAATATGCCATTAAGGTGATCATGAGAGAACCATACAGCCACATAAACAGAGGTTAACAGTGAGGACTAAACAGATTGAATTCCAAGGTGGCTCGGGAAGTGGACAAGGTACGACTGCCTGGCCACAAAATGCCTGTGGAAACGCTTCAACACTCCGTGAGGCAACCAACAGAGACTGCTGTCGCTCCTACACCCACACGCTTGCGACCCAAGGGGCCAGTGGGGCTAGATTTCTACCAGAAGTACCAAAAAGCTGCGAGCAGACCAAAGCAGAGTGCTGTGGAAAGGCTGGAGGCAGACAAGGCTAAATATGTCAAGAGTCAGGTAGCTCTTACCAAGCAGCAGCCAGTCAGGCCTCCTGAAGTGCGTAAGCCTCTACTCAGCCCCAGCTCTGCCCTGTCACCCACCAGAAAGACCGCAGACCCAGCAAAGACAAAGCAGGAATGATTACAGCTGGACATGGAGCACCTGAGTAACCTCATCAGTGGAGTGAATGAAGCGCCACGGTCCGGTGCAACTGCAAAGCCAAACGACAGTAAACCTCCTTACTGTGGTGCAGCTGTACACAATTTTCCCCGTCCCACTCCTGCAGGGGCACAGCAGAATAAGGAGAAGCCGTGTCCACCTCCACGTCCTGATAGGTTAGTTGCAGCTAAAGTGAGATTAAAAGCATCTGACCCTGCTAACGTAGAGAGCACGAGCTCTCCTGGGCCTCCAGCTGCAGCGACGGTACGGAGGGTGGATGTCATGCCTCAGGCCAGCCCTGTGAGGACAGCAGGCAGACGACCTCAGTTAATTCGACAGCCCCTTCAGCCAATATCTCTACAGTCTCAGTTTCGACCCGGCCCAACTGCTTCAAACCTGCATCTCTTTCTCCCCAGAACAACACCAGGTCCTTCTCCTCTGAAACCTGTTATTGCTCAGTCAAAACCTGATACCTCTTCCACTTCTCCAGCCGAGACCCCAGTTCCTGCCACGCCCACACTAAGCTACCCTGTTATACCTCCTCCTTCCCCAGCAATTACCCGTTTGTCTTCCACGAGCTCCAGGAAACGCCCTTCTCTAACCCGGTCTAAGTCGGACATGAGCGACAGGTACTCCCGAGCTGGGACAGAGCTGGAGCGCTTCTTCAACCTGTGCGGTTTGGACTCCGCAGATGTGCAGGAGCTGACTGGTTCTAGCTCTGACATTGTTTCCATGGCTCGTTTTCGCAGCGCGAGCGCTCCAGGGTCCGAGTGCGCAGCCTCCGGCAGAGAAGACGAGGGTGAAGAGGATGAGGAGGAGGCTGGCAAAGCTGCAAATCGTGTTCCCTACGGTGTTTCTGTCATTGAGAGAAATGCACGAGTGATCAAGTGGCTCTATGGAATTAAGGAGGCAAAGGACAACTCGACAAAGAGCACCAATTTATAGGCTGGTCTCAAGTCATTTATAAGCTTTGTATTAAAAATAAAAATGCCAACTTTAATATTTTTTTAAGATCAAACTTGGATAAGACATTGACTGATGGAGCTCCATTACTAACCTGTTATTACACTGAAGAGTGTTTGTTTGTTATATCTCTTCTTTTTCCCCATACTTAGAAAATGTGAGCCACAATCTTTGTTCTGAAGGTTTTTCTCGTGCTATTTTGACTTTTCAGTGCTGTATTACTTTTGTGTGTCACTGCCAGGCTGTCTGGCAAAGATGTGACATCTTCATTAAAAAAATCACTTTGTGCTGTAAATGGCTGCCATTAAAGAGAAAATGCTGCAAGAAAGTTGTTTGGTTCTCCCTGTTATG